AATTATGATCCAAGCTTCAACAATTGCAGTTGTCTGACTCTTACTTCATTATTACCTTCAACCTTCTAAAAACTTTATCACTCTTTGAAGGATTGCGGTGTAGAAAATACGATACCTGTCGTTAAAAAATGCCATAAAGGGGCCCTCGTAAAAGATACGATTCCATTATAAAGCAATACTTAGCACTGAAGTACTCCAGAATAACGATAATCATTATTTTTCGTATGGTATTTGCGTTTTTTTTTTTAAATTAATGAGGAATTTACCAGTTTAATAATCGATCCCTCCCCTCCCCCGAGTTTAAATAATCGATTCACTTTTTTATCACATTTGGCAACAGGAATTTAAAATATGGCGGTATGATAGTGAAAGTATTATATCTGCAGCTTATAAATATTGTAAATCTGGTTGATTAATTAATTATGGCCAAGTTATCGTAGGCTGTTTGTTTCGGAGGAACATTATAACTTAAGCGAATGTTACAGTAAAATATTTAATATGATGGATGTATAAAAATCATGAAACTGTTGTAATGTATTACGGTTGTATTGTAATGTATTTATTTCGGAGTTTAAATGGCCAGATTTTTTTTTTTTTTTTACTGCTTATAACTCTGGACAGAAAGAAGCTGATTTCATTTATAATGCGACATTATTATTTACATTAGTTAATATTAAACGCTGCAATAACAGGGATGTACTTATATGAAAATTCTAGAAAGGGGTAATTTTTAAAGGATACACAATTAAAATTTTATTTTGATTTAAAAATATACAAACGTTCATGAGTTCTAAAGTTTAGATTGAGATTTTTAAAAATGAAGCTGACCAGTATTACAAAACTAAGTACAAAAACACGGTATTTTAATACTCAAGCTGTTTTCACTGCCTTTTAACTAGACTCTTTCAAATATAACCTCGTAAAATAAGAAATTTTTTATTAATTCCTTTTCTTTCTTTCCTTTTTTTTCTTTTCTAGCCGTTACAAGTTGTACAGTGAAAGATGTTTTGAGTCACAAACCCTGGAGTTGTAAACGTGATTTTCAAAGTTGTTTTGAGATAGGTATTCCATTAACACTCGGATTTTTCTACAAACATCATTTTAATGTTTTCTCCTGCTTGTATGGCAGCAAGTGACTTTCAGGCCAGATTGATTTACATATAAAGAATTTCTTTTTTTCATCTGTGATATTTTATATCTAGGCAAAACTATGGGCTAGGGAGATGATAATAAAGATGTGGAGACTAGACAACCATAAAAATGAACTGAGCAAGAAAAAAATTACAATTACATATATAAAGGAGGAACAAAAGATGATTGAGGAAGAAATGGTTTTAAAAGTAGAGGAAGAAGCAAAAGTGATCCTAGTCAGAAATTTGAGCAAACATAAGTTGCAAAGCTTTCATGTGACAATATTACCCTGATAAAGCATTAGCAAACTGCAGCTTAAGTATTTTCAGTGACAGTGCCATGTCTCATTCCTGAAATATTTTCAAATATAGTTAAAAAAAATTATGTTGGATAAATTTTAAGTGAATGGGGGCTTAATGAGACTCAAGAGTCAAATGGTGCTTAAAGACAAAGAAGTAATGGGGTGCCTCATCCAAACAATAACATTTTTCACCTATGCCCCTCCATTCTCCTTCATCAGATGCAGTAAAATTAAGCTATGCTTTTGTGTATTGTATCTGTTTTATATTGTTTTGGGTGAAGTGCAGAGTCGTCCACTTATTTGGCACTTTTTACAAGAGTAAGAAGAATTAGATTTTTGTTAATTTCCTTTGACTTTTTAAGTGAAAATGCATTGATGTGTACATGGACAAAGTCAAGGGAGTGCACAGTACCAAATTTTTGCCATTCTTTGATTTTTTTAAGTGAAAATAAGTCGATATTGGATACCAAGTTTGTGCAATTCTTAAAAATGCGCCAAGCAGTAGGTGATTCTGCACTCTCCCCATTGTTTTTATCTTTTGTTTTATATTGAATGGTTTCAATTTCTTATAAATTTGTGCACAGTTTACTGTTGTAAATAAATAAGAAATCATATGTGGTTGTTTCTGGACCACAGGTGACTGCTTTTTGAAGTTTTACAACAGTATAATGTGTCTAAGTTTATAAAAAATTGAAATCATTGGATATGAAGGAATTTGACAACGCAATGTATCAGAATTTTTTTTGGAGCAATAATTTTCCACCAGCATTAAAGGTCTTATGATGAAAAATGATCAAAGCTCTTTTTAACATGTATGTATTTTTTTAGCAATCATAAATATTGCTGATATACTTAGATAACCAGAATGCTTTATGTATTCATGTTTAAAATTTAGAATTAGCTTTTTAGATTCTGAAATTTGAAAATACAATGCAAATAGTTCATGAAATGATTAATGCTTATTTTGTCACTGTTTGTCAGGTAATCACCAAACGGGAGGAGATATTGAAGCAGTGTTTTTTTTTTTTTTTTCCCTTTTCTGTATGAAAGCATTTATAAATTTAGTTTTTGTTCAGTGCTTGTATGTTAAATATGAAATACAATAAAAGCTTGACTATCCAGAAATTTCGAAAAATGCCAATTTCCGGATAATGAAAATTGCGGGTAGTTAAGCGTATAAAAAATGAAATTCATGAAAAAAAAAAAGCAAATGAATGGAAAAAATTTCCACTAAAAAATTATAAAAACAATTATCTTTTTTGTTACTTGAATTATCTTTTTTGTTACTACTAACTTGAATATCAAAAGCCTACAATGAAAATTACTTTAGATTAAAAGGAAAAAAAGTTCCATTTCAAACATGCCAATGTATTAATTACATAAACATGAAAGTAAAACATCTGATCTGATTTTCAAATCCTTAAACATGAAAGTAAAACATCTGATCTGATTTTCAAAACCTATTCAACGTAAAAGTTGGCAGAAATGTTGCTAATCATTGCAGCAGAAGCTTAAACTAACAGATTGTTCTTTCTTTATTCAAATAATGAATAGGTAAAAATTATAGGTATAGCATATAAGAAACTTAAATTGGGTACCATGAAAATCGTAATTTTTCACAGTACATCACCAATATTTATCCATTTTTTAAAGTCATGTGTTGTGGACTTTTTTAATGCCTGAATCCTGTGATTTTCAAAATGCTGCACTGGATGCTGTCCCAAATATTTATAATTATTTCAGAGGGGAAAATCTAATTTATATCCTTCACAAAAATTATGGCAGCTTATCGAGAATTAATTGACATCATGCTTATCTAATTACTAGTGCTAATTTGGGTTCTTTTCTGTTATCAGGATCAGATTCAGGAACTGTATGTATATATGCACATGTGTATGCATGTTTGTGTGTGTAGACTCGGAGATATATATGTACTATGCACACACACACACAAAAAAAAGAAAATGGGACAGTTCTATATCTCTCGTTCTACTGAGCCTATTGACGAAATTCAACTTATAGTTTTCATGTCTTCAATGTGCGACTTAGGATATGTATTAGATTTATATATAGCATTGTTCTAATATAGGTATTTTGACACAAAATCAGGCTTTTTCTGAAATTACGTGCCAATTTGTTTTTATATTTCGATTCTACGACTCAAATTATGCCAAATTGTCAAGTTTTGTAAAAATCGGACGAGTAGTTTTTAAAAAATTAGTTCTCAAAATTTTAGCTCCTTCCTGTTAATCTCTTCATCATCCGTAACGCGTCTAGCGCATTCAAGTGAAACTTCTGCAGGGCGGCCATAACACGCTTTAAGCGTTCTTCTACATTTTAAAACTTTTAAATGTTTTAAACGCTTTCTAAATGCTTACTTGTTTGAGTTTTGAGTTTTTATTTTTGTATTAGAACAAACAAAAATACGAGGGAAGCACTAATCAGGCATTCTATTTCTAAGGGTTTTATGAATACTAGTCTTGTCATTTTACATAAGATACAAGACAGTGAGAGATGGCTTCTCAGCAGAAACGTCTACTCAGCAGAAAAAGAGAAAAAATGAGGTTGTGAATTGGAAAGACAAGAATGATATACGTTTGATGAGTAAAGTCCATAATAACTCGATAATTGATGTTGGAACACGGAAAAGAACTGTAAAAAAAATCAGTAATTGTAAAAGATTACAACAAAAAAGTGTAAGGAGTGGACTGCCAGATCAGATGCTATCAAATTATCCTGCTGTTAGAAATAAGCAGAGATATTATTTTTTTTTCCATTATGCTTTATTTCCTTATAATTTTACTTAATATTCATTGACAGTCATCCACTATGAAAGTCATATATGGAAAGTTATGATGTACAGAGAAAACAACATTACATACTACGAAAAACAGACATCCGCTGGGGGGGGGGGGTTCGCGGACAGGAGAGGGCGGCGAAAAGGTTAATTCAATTTGGTATGCATTTATTAATTTCTCTTTTTTTATTAAACTTATTTGATTCTTCCTTTCACATTTTGAAATTTAGATTCATTTCAAATAAAATTCGCCCATTTTTATGATTATTTTTAAAATTTATATTTTAAAATAATTTTTTTAAAACAATTTTGAATTGTAATCTATAAAATCTTTGCCATCATCTTAAAGTAGATGTATTAAGTATATATAGTTATTTATTCAAAATTTCCCTAGGATATATGTGAATTTACATATATCCTAGGAATATGTATTTTATGCATTTTGAAATTTTGCATATTAATTATAAGCAATAATAAAAAATGTGTTTCATGCACTTGTTAAAATTATTCGAAAGTATGAATGATGACTTTTTTCCCCACTCATGGACAAAGAAAAAAAGGAAAGGAAAATAGGTTGCTATAAATTAAGAAGTTCACCATTTCTTAGTTCAAACTGAAAAAAATCCACCTAGGTAAATTTTTTGAATTTCTTTGTAAATTTTGCACCAGATTTTACAAAATTTAATATTTAGGCATAATTTGAATTGTAGAATCGAAATATGAAAAAAAGGGCATGTCATTTCAGAAAAAGTCCAATTTTGTTTCAAAATACTTATTATAGAACAGTGATATACATAAATCTAATATATATCCAAAGTCTTGCTTTCAAGACATGAAAAACGTAATTTGAATTTCGTCAATCGACTCAGTTAAATGGGAGATGTCCCTTTTTTTTGGCAGTATACATGCATATGTGAACACATCCATACATGCGTTTCTGGACTCAGTCCTTATAACAGAACAGTACCCTAAGTCACACTGTGTTTCAATAACATATGTTATAACAATATCTAGAATCACATTTTAAATCTCCCATTTACTAAATTTTTCTAAAATATTCAGGTTGAATGCCAGATAGTTAGCTTTGACTGTATATACAAACACAGAAGAAAGCTTATAAATGTGGAATTTAGTTTGTCACAAATGCAAATTAAAAAATATTTTCTTTTTTACTTGAATATTTATTTAAGATTACAGAGTTAAATACTGTAGTTATATAATTGAATATATATGAAAGGCTTCTTATCCTTTGAATCTTTTTCCGAGTATTAATTAATATATTAGTTAGATATTATGATGAAATTGAACAAATATATTTAAGGATATCATTTATTGTCCTGTAATGCTTTTTTTTTTGTTATAAAAAATGGCATATCTAAGAATAAATGGCTTCTAAGAATGCTGCTAAGTTTTTTATTGAACAACTTTCTTGTACAACACATCTCTAACAGCAAGTTTTCAGACAGTTTTTTTCATTTAGTTGATTTGCAAGTTCACAAAATGACTTGGATGCAAATATCACATGTACCATTTTGTTATGTTATTTAATTTAAAATTTATATATTATAGAAAAATGTTCCAATTATGTTTTTCTTTCCTTTTGTATAAAATTTTCAGCATTAAGATTAAACAAATTCAATTCTTAATTAAGATTTAATAAACTTGATGTTTAAAAAATATCCATCAGAAACTAACTCAGTATTGAGAAACTCAGAACCCATTAATTTCCCTTTGATCATTAAGTGGTGGTGAATGGTGAAATTTCCTTTTGTATCATGATGCTTGCAGAATTTGATGTTTATAAAAATAATACAAGCAAAATTTATGCAATTTGAGTGAAATGAAGGCTGTGTTTCATCTGAACAAAATTATGATTTTAAAACAAAAATTTTACTTCAGGTATTCAGTGTATAGTATACTATTTAAAAATAAAAAAATAAAAAAAAAAATTAAGTGGTTTATTTTTCTCCTATCCTTTTCTGTTAGCACTAAAGATTTTAAAATACTGGTAAGATATAGAAAAAGTATTATATTATGAAAATATATTGACATGAAAATATATATAAGCTTATCGTATTTTAACTCTTGTATTTGCATTTTTCTAGTATATGAGTGAAATCATTTAAAAATGCACTCTTTACTTTTATTAATTACATCTTCTTTATCTTCTCTTTCATTAATTGCATCTCTTTCGTTTTATTTCATCTTTAAGTAAATACATGTTTTTGATTTAGGTAGTGGACATGTAAAGAAAAAAAAAAAAAAAAAAAAAAAGAAGGATACAACAGTTAAGACAAATCATAACTGTAGTTCATAGAGTATTTAACTTGCAGTGAAGTAAATGTGAAACTCTTGGCATGCAAAATTCAGCCTTGGTTGGCATTGGCTTTATAAAAAGTTCATCTTACATAAAATTAAATTTTTGCTTAACTTGATATTTAATTTTGACAAGATATTTTCTCTCTGGCAACCATACTCTGGATTATCTGCCGTGTAATTTGTTACTAAATGTTGTGTGCGATTAAAAACAAAATTGTGAATGAAAATAGTGTTGAGATAACCATGGTTGTGATGGTTAGTCTAAAATATTAGTGATAGTTGAGTTGATAATATTTGTGCAATGTGCATGCACTTAAATGTGATAAACAGTACAGTAGAATAGTGAAATATTAAACAAAATGTCTTTTTAATATATCTGATTTTATAGTTTTCAAACACAATGTATTTATTCTGTAATATATTTGTTTATAGCATTGTTTTTAAAATGAGTAATTTATTGTAAACTGTGATATTTATTTATCAATATGAAGACTCTTTTTATATGTTGTTTAACATTACTGAATTAAAAATTTTTTAAGTGTTTACGTATTAACACAACTACTTTAGTAGCATTCAACAAATATTTTCAATGTGCCAAACTCTGGCAACCATACTCATAACATTTGTTTCAGTCAAGCAACGGCACCATTTTCCTACACATTCTTTTTCGTTGTGTTCCAAGTTCAAACAGTTTTTATAAATAAACTGATCTTTTTTCCCCCCTTAAACTTGTTTTAAAATATGAGCTTGTAGAATTTGCCAGCAAATGGAAGAAATTGCTTTAAAATATCTGCAGGACTACAGAATTTTACTGAAAATTTTTTAAAGGAAAAAATGAAGAAATTCATTTCTTAGATAGTTGCTGTTGCCAAAATTTGCACAAAGCCAAGTCTCTGCAGTTCTCTGATGCTTTTTAAAGTGAAAACAGATTGCTCAAACAGATTACAGAAAGATTTGAAGAAGCATGTGTGTTTTATATTTTTAATGCATCTCGCTATCCTTATTTAATAATTCCAATTTTTATTCTGAATTCCTAAAGTATGTTTTCTTTTTATAACCACTTTTAAAAAAATTAAATATTTAATTTTATTGTAATAAGTAATATAGGAAGGTATTGCTGCAGTTATATCCTAAGATTTATAAATATCCTTATTATCTCTTGTAATAAAGATATCAAAGTTGTATAATATGTTGATAATATTCACCGATTTATAAATATCAATAGCTATGGAATCTTTTTAAAACAAAGCTGTGAAAACCAGCAATTGGCACCCAATAAGTAGCTTTTACCTTTTCATCTGTAAAAAATCTTCTTATTGCACCAAGATGGTTGTGTTAATACATAAGTACCTTTTTTTATTAATATTTTGATTTTAATGTAATGTGTAAAATCTTTATTGGTATTTGTGTTTATTTCAGCTCTAATGTTCTGGAATAAAAGCAGAAGTTTTGACAAAAGATATCAGTGCTCCGTATGTCCTTATTCTTCAAATGATTCATCAAACATGAGAAGGCACAAAATGGTCCACACTCAAGAACGCCCATATGGTTGCATGTTCTGTAGTAAAGCATTTAATCATAAAGTTAGTTTAGAGCGTCATATGCGTACTCATTTTTGTTAGAAACCATTTAAGTGAAAAACTGTTTTCAGTCCATATTTTTCACTGGAAAATTTCTTGCAAGTATGAGTATTTATCAATTTTAAATGTATGTAGATTTTAGAAAATGTTCCATTTCTTTACCAGGTATTAATCTATATTGGTCTTTAAACTTTCTTAACATTGTTTAACTATCATTGTTTTTTTATTGTAATATGAGAATTTATGTATTCTTTTATTATATGAGAGTAATTAACAGTAAAAGTTGTAATGCCATAGTCTTACAAGGGCTGTAATCTTATCTTAATCTGATTTGAAATCTGTATAGTATTTATTTATAGCAATTTTTGTTATACTTGAAACATTAGGTGTGTTAATACTGTATTTTTTATGTACTTAGTGTTTTTTCTAGTTTAATTAATGCATATTATGACAAGCTTACCTGTGTTACTTGCTTATCACATAATTGTTATTATTATATGCATATGTTTAGTTAACAAGTAAATCGTCTTTCCTTTGGAGTAATAAAATTTTCAATTGAAATAAAATCAATTTTTATTTAAAACGTCCTACCTGTATTTACAATATGATTTTAATGTGATGAAGAAAATTTTCCCTGTGCATGTTTGAAGATTACTAGATTCATCAAATGTAAATATTGCATAATTCCATTGATACAGTTAATAAATATTTATTCTTATTAACATTCTGTTTAATAACTTGTGCCATCTGATGTTTGTGTAACTGAAAAATGCAATCATGTTTTGTTTGAGTAACTTTTAGAGCTTAAATCAATAATACATTTTTGAATAGTATGCATACATTATGCGGGAAAATCTTTTTATGCTCATTTAATCATAGAATCTAAATTAGTTTAGAGTGTCATACATACTTTTATGAAGAACTTTTAAGTGGAAGTTTTCTGGATTTTAATTAAACAGAACATTTAATTTGTTTCTTTTATTTGGTTTCTTTAAATATATATATATATATATATTAGTTGTATAATGTAGAAAAATGTATCTGAGTGATTAAACCACTTTAACAAATTCAATATTTAATTTTATTGTAATAAGTAATATAGGAAGGTATTGCTGCAGTTATATCCTAAAATTTATAAATATCCTTATTGTCTCTTGTAATAAAGATATCAAGGTATTTATTCTCTTATTAGTTAATGAGTTAATGAAAGATTCATATTTTAAGTATTCTTCATTTAATTAATAATAAAATTTCTTTTTTGAAAATTGCTCTGAAAATTAAAAAAAAAAAAAATCTGAATCATTTTTCTTTTATTGCATACAAGATAATTAGTATTTACAAAAACTTTTATTTCAGTTAATGTACATTGGAGTAACACTGATATAGCCACAAGTTTCACAGGAAGATACAAATGTCAATTTTGTCCATATTCATCACGCAGTTTTTCAAACTGGAAAAGACATAAAATGAGCCAGCATTCTGCATCTGTTTCTCTGCCGTATTTATGAAATAAATGGAAATCCATATAATCATCTCATGTAGATACTCATAAACGTAACATTTCAATGCAGTACCTGCATATGTAATTTTGTGAATAAACTATGAAAACTTATTGTATTGTCACATGTTATTATACGTCTTTATAGTATGTGTTACAACCATTGCCTGAAGTCTTGCCTTTATGCAAAATAGCTGCCACTTCTATCACTGGCTACTTGGTGTGGTTAAATTCTAAAATGTAAAATTTATCATTTCTTTGGGCAAGAGAAAAATGCTAGAAAGAATGCTTTTGGCAAGAGAAAAGTTAGAAATTACTTTACTTTTAATGATTTTTCATGAAATTAATATTATTGGCAGATAAAAGATGTATTTTTTATTTGATATCTCATATTTAAAAGCTATATATTATCATCATTGCATAATTAGAAATCTCCTTGAAGATTTCCTGTGCCATAAATGTAAAGTTGTAAAAATCACAGAAAATGTAAATACAGTCAAAAGTCGTTAATTCGGACACCCATAATCCGGACCTCAAAGCTACAAACTTTCTGCGCATACGTCGCGTTGACTCATGCTTGTAAGACCTTTATGGCTGCGAATATGCGTGTGCGCGTGCGCAAAATACGTTTACGAATGCGCGTTTAATGTATAACGAACGGTATAAGCTAAGCTAAAATTATCTAATTCAGTTAATGTTGCAGATTGCGTTGTTCCTTAATCTTCGAATTGGATTCGGCTTATTATTTTTTGCAGATTGTTAGAGCAATTTTATAAAAGTAAGCTTAAACTTTCGATTATGTCAAATAGAATTTCTGATATATATTTACTAATATGTAAAGGATCTACAAAGCGAAAGTATGTTTCGAAGTCCATTAAACAAAAAGTGGAATTGCTGCAAAAAATGGATAAAGGCATATCCTTTGTTTATCTAAACTTTAACGTTTGTTTATCTTTAATAAATGTAGTATTTCATCTCGATGTACTCCATCTTTGATATGATTTAAATCACGTTCCTCGTCATAATAATTCGCTTCCGATAGCGAAGAAAGTGACAGAGGTTATTGAAATCGAAAAAAATTTCGATTGACAAATTAGTCGGTATTCTCGACACAGCAATTATAGGACTTGAACAGCGGAACTTTGTAACTGAACAAGAAATTATGTCTGTTTATAGAATTAAAGGGTTTTTTTTTTTTTTTTTTTTTTGTAAATTTTGATACCCTTTGGATCATAATTGTTCTTTATTTCATAAATTACGGTTTCATATTTTTAATTTTATAATTTCTGCATGCCATCTTACCAGATTTAAACTGATGATCTATAATCTGGAATCGCCGAAGTCCTGACGAGTCCGGATTAACGACTTTTGACTGTATAAATGATGATCTTAATATTATGATATATCTCTCCCCTTCTTTCCAGACTTTTTAATAAACATTTGCTTGGGCAATTTGACAATATAATGGCATGTATTTTATAACAGATAATTATGGCAGGTGAAAAAAGTGATTTTTATATTTTTTATTGTATTCATTTATATTTTTTATGGTACAGGAAAAACTTCATATCTGTAAAATTTTTCCTGTATAGATGTTTTTAATTATGCACTAATTATAATATATTTAGCTTGTAATTGTTATATCATGAACTAATAAGTATACTTTTTTTTCCATCACAAGCAAGTATTGTAATTTTCTGTAGATAAACTGCAGCTTATACATGTTTAAAAATTGAAAATTTAGGTTTGCGGCATATCTGAGGGAATTTTATTTTTCCTCTGACCTGAAAACTTCACTAGTTTAGAATTCAAGTTATGCACAAGCGAATTCGCTGCAGTAGTCTAACCTTAGATTGCACTAAGGCAGTGCCAATAAGTTCAAACTTGCCTAAGGTAGATGGTGCTCTCTGTAAAGACACCATAATGCATGTACTTTCTGCATTGGTTTTGCCTGCGTTTTCCTATGACTTTTTGTTTTCATGGAAACAGCTACGTTTACTTGTTAAGTTGTTCATTCTTGCACGTTTTTGCTGCTTTGTAGCGTGCTTTTTGTTTGCCTTATCATTCATGCTTTAAAAATATTATTATGGCTCCTATACGAAGAAAAAGTTATACAAGTACTTTTGAGCTTTTGGCAGTGAAAATAGCGATTGCAATTGGAAATTGTGCTGCGGCTAAAGAATTTAAGTTGAAGAGCGATGCATTCGGCAGTGGAAGCCCGAACAAGAAAAATTAGAGAAAATGCCTAAGAATAAAAGATCTTGTTGAACTGTGTCATAGCCTGGTCTGCTTTGGAAGACAATCTAATTTAGAGAAATGGACACTAGAGCAGAGAGAAAGTGGATTATCAGTATCAACAGTTAGAAATCACCTTCGACAAAGGTAATTGCTCGACAAATGGGCATTAAAAAATTTGTTGGAGGATCTAATTAGTGTTTCAGGTTCATGAAGCAAAAGAAATTATCTGTCAGGACCAAAACAACAGTTGGACAAAAGCTTCCTGTGGACTGGCTTGAAAAAAAGATAGCTTTTTTGGAGTACACATCTAAGAAAATTAAAGTACAAAATTTGAAAAGAGGGTAAATAATTAATATGGATGAATTACCTGTTACTTTGACTGTCCTCCGAGCAGAACTGTTCATTTAATAAGGGAAAAAACTATTTCAGTGTTAACAGACGGATCCGCCAATGGAGAGACGTTAACCACTTTGATAACTTTCAAAAGAAAAACAATTCCGAAAGGAAACTTCCCTAAAGAAGTTATTATTTGCGCCAGTGAAAAAGGATGGATGTGCGAAGGAGTGATGTTATTTTGGCTGAGAGAAATTTATCGAAAAAGGAAAAATGCTTTTTTCCAACTCAGTATTCTGAATTGAAGTGTGATCCCATTTAGCGGATACGGTAAGATCTGAAGCAAAAAAACTTAGCACCGATGTCTCAGTGATACCTGGTGAGCTTATAAAAATTTTACAGCTGCTGGATCTCACTATCAATAGAATTTTCGAGCATGAACTATGAAAGCAGTGGGAGGAATGGATGCAAAGCAGCCTCCGTTCCTTCACAAATTCTGCAAGAATGAGAAGGGCTGTCTTATGGGTCAATAAAGCATGGCAATCAGTGTGAGCTGGTATGAATGTATCAGCTTTCATTAAACTGGAAATCATCAAAAATGAAAATGAAGATAGTGACGTTGGAAAAGTGGATTCAGAACAGAATGATGAAATTGACCTTGATGGTCATTTGTTAAATTTATTTAATTCTGACATTGAGTCAGATTTTGAAGGTTTTACAATAAATGTTGTTTAATTTAATTAAAAAAGTGTTTGTTTATCTAATTTACATATTCTCTTGCATAATATGGTAATTTATGGTGATAAGAGAAGTTTACCGAACCTGTAAAAATAACATCCATTAGAAAACATCAGAGTTTGTTTTCGGCAATTTCAAGGTAAGATGTTTCTTCCTTATTTATTTATATATTACTGATTATATTTATGTTGTAAATGTTATAAAATGTTATCAATAATGATTACATCAGTAGGGCAGGGAATTGCTGAATAAATGAATATTAAGTGCCATGGTCCAGAATGCTTTGCTGTGGCGTATATGGCGGTGCAGCTTACTCAATGAACTTTCATTTTTTTAGTCAATTATGTGTGTGGCATATATGCCAGGGCAGTTTATCTACCGGAAATTGCGGTACAAGTATTATTTTACATAGGTTAGCTATTCCTAATTGCTGTATTTCTGTAAATGGAGCAGCTTTGTTAGCACTTTAAATCCATCAATTAACTAGGTTTTTCGTAAAGGATATTCTTGGAAAAAATTACGACTGAGTTGGGCAGTTCTTTATTTATCCTTTCTGAAGTTCCATGACCAACAACAAGTGCAGAGGTGTAGTCACCTAAGATTGACCTGTCTATATGGCCTAAACAAAAATGGAAAGTAGGACAATTAGACTAATAGATTTAGAATTTTTAGACATATGCATATGTACGCATACATATATATATATACACATTGTACTTGCTTCAGCAGTACATATACTAAAATTGGAACAATACAGAGAAGATTAGTATGACCCCGTACATATAAAATAAAAAATATGTAAACCAGCTTTATAATTTAATTTGGTAATGGCCTTTTTATTTGGTTATTTTCTCTTTATTCAAAAAAAAAATTAATACAATTTCTGGACTGCGTAATTTTTAGGTAGATCAACGTTGCATGGCTTGCGTAATGCTGATGACATACCTGATTTGGAACCTAAACTAAAAATTTTGAGAACTGAAACCTTTCTGACCTCTTGGCAATCTTCCATATTGGATAAATGTGTAGTTTTAGTGCTGCTTGGGCACTGTTTCACTGCGCTCCCTTTCTATTGCAACAGTATCAATGTAACTATTCTGGAAATGACATGGAAAATGTAATGAACACAAATCTAGAAGATCTGTTGTAGGAACACCTGCGGCATAGAAACACAGAGATACTGCTTGTGAAGCACGTGGATGGCATATTGAAGAGGAAGAATTCTGACTACATAGAATGCTAAAATGTTGAATTCGTAATGACTAAGAAAATGGGCAGTCAAGATGGATTAAATTCCATTTTTATTTAAATTGACATTTGTGGCCTTCTGTTGCAAAAGAAAGAGAGCACAGTAAAATAGCATTTAAGCAGCACAGAGTGTGTAAAAGTGTGCATTTATCCAATATGGAAGATCGCCATGAGGAAAGTTTTGGTTTAGGTCAGAAAGGTTTCATTCTCAAAATTTTGAGTTTAGGTTTCGAATCAGCTACACCATCAGCACTACGCAAGCATGTGACATAGAGGTATATAGAAATGGTGTGTATTTAATTATGGCAAAGCACACTAGGGCTATCTGCCTAAGGGAAGGGATGCCTTCGTGGAGGACTTTCTAAGGGAATCTGGCTCGTATACACGTTACACATGGGGAAAACACCCATGCAGCGAGCCCATTCGCGGGATTCGAACCTCGGACCGAACTACCAGTGGTTCAGCGACTTTACCGCTCGGCCGCTGGTGGGCGCTATATAGAAATGGTGTTGATTTTTTTAGAATAAAGAGAAAATAACCAGATTAAAAAAAAGAGGAATTAAAAGGCTATTACTAAATTAAATTATAAAGCAGATATACATGTTTTTTACTTTATGTTCATATTTCCTAGGAGATAGTCCAAAAACTGATCTAATATATATGTATAAAAGATTTGGTTCAAATCCTAGCTAAGGAAAAAGATACAGGCAGGGTGGGACATATTTAAAATATCTTAAAAATAAAAGTGAAAATTTAGAGTAGTCCAAGATGGCAATCTACGCTTTTTGTACAGGAAGTTAGTACAGTACAAAGTCTGTAATCCGGACTTGTCGGGACTTCAGCGATTCCGGATTATAGATCATGAATTTAAATCTGGTAAGATGGCATGCAGAAATTATACAATTAAAATATGAAACCATAATTTATGAAATAAAGAACAATTATGATCTGAAGGGTATCAAAATTTACAAAAAAAAAAAAAAAAAAAAAAAAAAAAAAAAAGCTTAATATTTTTTGTTTACTTTATTAAACATTTCTTTCAATGCAAGTTTTAATTCTTCGTTTTTTGCGCTAAACGTGCTGCGCAAAGCATACAAAAAAAGTTTTTTTCTTTGAGGTCCGGATTATAGATCATTCTGGATAATGGACGTCCGAATTACAGACTTTGTACTGTATTTGTTAAAATAGTGGTGTAATCACCAGAACTAAAGAAGCTATGAAAAAATAATAAATTAATCATCTCTCTCTGTATATATATAAGATATAATAAAATATGATGGCTGTGCTAAGAAATGATTGGCAATCTTCAAATTGACCATTCTAGATTTTATGTTCTTCCCCAAATTCATCTTTTCTCCCAAATACGAGGAATCTTTTGCAAGCAGTATTATGTAATTTTCAGATTACATAATGCTGCTTGCAAAATAGAACTAAAACCTAAAATTAACTAATTGCAGCTTAGCTGTACATATGCATATGCACCTAACGTAGTATAAATACTGCTTTGCAAGCAATTATGTCACTTCTTCTTAACTTCTCCTGCCATGCAAAACCGCTGCGTTGCTAAGCTTTATTGTTCTTCACCTTAAAATTCCTGTACTCAACTATGATCGAAAAGTATATTGTCTACAAAGAAATTATTTGATGAAAATAACGATTTGTGATACTTCAAGCTCAGTTGTGTTAGTAGCTGCGCATCATGCCTTCACTCTCAGCCACTATAACTGCTGGAAATTAAATGTGTCGGGTTTCCTTTATACATTGAAATATCTCTGGAAGTATTCCCTGGAAGAGTATGTCTTCAAAGATTCCATTTTTTATAACTACAATCATAAATGCATCCTGAGCTACTTTCATATGTGTAAACTTTCATTTATGTGAACTTTTATCCATGTGAGCAATCATGACTGTTGGTTCTTTTGTTCTTTTCAGTGGGCTTCTGTCAGAAAACTATTTTACTGTACGCTTCAGTTTATATTTTTGGTTAAAAGTAAAGTGACAGGAAATTCTATCAGAGGCATATAACAAGAAAAGTGCATGTACATTTTCTTGTTAAAAAAGAAAATATCAATAAAAATATCTTAATTATAATTTCTACAAGTATAAAATGCATAACTTTCACTTATAGCAAATAACTTTTTAATTTGATCTAGAAAATATATAAATGATTTCTTTCCCATAATTTGAAGCTGCACATACTTCAGTCATATCTGTATGAAATTCTTCACTTTACAAAATAAAAAATTGAGTGTCTCAATTACTCAAGTTCGTCTGAGGTAGCATATATATATATATATATATATTTAAAAAAAAAACTGAATTATACGTTTTGCACATTAGGTGATATTACAATAAGTGGCCATAAGAAATGTAATTTTTATTGTACATGCAACTTCCATTTTAAAAATTTGGTATGTAACTATCAAATATATTTTTCAAACTCCTTCCAATAGTTAAAAATTAAAAACAAGAAACATACATATAAAGTGCTTACTAAGCAAAAGAATTTTATACAGCAAAGATATTTATACAGAGCCATATTTGGCTCTGCATAAAAATCTTTGTATATATATAATCAGAGGGCGCATTCAGATGCTGGATGAATAGATAGTCTTTTGTCAACCATTTTAATCAACCTAATAATCAAAATTAAATAAATAAATTTTTTAGGACAATTTCACAGTGCATTTAGGCCTGAAATGTCAATAGCTGATTTGATGATTATTCCATTAAACTCTATCATATTCCTCAACCAGCAGTGTCCAGATTTGAGTCCTACTGAAAATTTATATGACCACATTGCATAGGAAGTCAGTAAAAGCCAGAGATATCCTAGGAATCTGATCAGGATCAATTGATGGCAGACATATGATATTAATCCATTATGAACATATTCTACAGACTTCTACATGCTGTGCCAAAGTGAATTGCTGCTGTTATTCTTCCCAGGATAGAGCAATTAAATATTAGTTAACATTTGCTTCCAAAGGGTCTAGTTTTTCCGTACTATAGTGTATACCATAAACATACTTTATCTGTATGATAACCAAGTTTAAAGAGTCTGCATAAATATCAGATGATTACTTAGTATTTTCAAACATGAATAATTAATTAACAGAAGGCATTTGTCAGTTACTCTTTTTTTAAAATTAATAAATATTAATATTATATTACTCTAGTGAAACTGTGCAGCTTGAAAATAATTAAGAACTCAAAATTTGAATGTAATTAAACAGTTTCTTTCTCGCACGTAATTTACGCATGAATCAATTTGGGATGAAATTGTGGATTTTAGGCTAACACAACATTTGTCTCTATAATATAAGGATTGCCAACAGATTTCAAACGTAAAGGTATAAGACAGGAGATAATCAGTAATTTGAAAATCTTATTAAAACATTAAAAAGTTTATTATGTACAGTACAAAGTGTGAGGTCCGAAACAGTTCTGACTTGGCCATTTTGAATTTTAGTCTATCAACAAAAATCTAGCACATAGAAACACACAGAAATTATGAAATTAAAAATATGAAATAATGAATTTGACCAAGGGAATTGAAATTTACCAATAAAAAGAATTCTTATTGTTAACATTTATTTGTTTAATTTAAAGTGCATTTCTATGTAAATAGTTTCAGTAATTCCATCTAATATGAGAGGGTGCTGTGGAGATGAGAGTAATTTAACCGCTTGGCCAGTAATGTCTTAATATCAGCAGAAAAGTCTTTATAAACAGCAGCTATTTGTAATTAATTTAGTTCTTGATTCAAGAGCCAATTTGGAGGAGCAGACTTGAAGTGCATGGAAAACACTGAAGCTAAATTATAATAAGTTGTATTACATGGTTTAAGTGTGATGGACTTCAAAACTAGTCCTGGAGATTTATGGATATTATGCTGATTCTTGTTGCTTTAGCTTCTCCAATAATCATTTTTTGGCATGTTTAACTCAAAGATATCAGCTGGTTAGAACTGTTAATTAAAAAAGAATTTACTTTTATGAAGTAGGTTTAAAGAGGTTTGTGTTTCCTACCAGGGTCAGTAGGACCTGTAGAAGAAACCAGTTGTTTCTGAACTACCTCCTTTTTAACGGCTTCAAAATATTTTATATCTAAGGATACAAATCTTCAAGGTAATCATATCTTGTTTTTTATCTTCAATAATTTACAATGCTGAGATGGTGTAATTCTCGGATTTTGTTTTTTTAAAGAAAACAGTTTGCTTAGTTCATGGGAAGAATAGCAGCACATATACACAAAAAATCATTGATGGATTTCTCAAAAAGCAAGCAATGATAAATTTGTGCAATTCTCTGAGGTTTGTTTTAGTGAAAATATATCACTGTGCACATAAAGAGAACTAAGCACACAATGAAACCTTTTGTTTGTTTTATTAAAAAAATAATGGATATAAGAATTAAAATTTGTATTTAAAATTAAATTCATATTAAAATTTGTATTTGAAATTCCTATTGTTTTGATATATTAACAAGGTTTGCCGACTTACGATAAATATCGATAGTTTGGTAAATTTTTTTTTAAAAGTTGCAGTTCATCAACTTGCACATAATACGTAACTTTGATTTTCTTTGTGTGAATGAATCAGTGTTTTATAATACATACTTGTCTACTACAGACAAGAGTCATCAGAGCACTTGTGCATATGTTCTTCACTAAATTTAATTCATATCAAACTCAATTATTTTATCAGATTGAGATTTATATTTATTTAATTACATAATCTTTCAGTTTCTTTCTTTGCACAATATATATTTCATCAACAGAGAACATAATGCATACTTTTATGTTAACAGTAGGGCTAAGTGAACTCCACCTTTTTCATATAAAAAGACACTATGCACACAGGTCAACATTTTTTTTTTTTTTTTTTTATATGCACAAATTATTTTGAAGTATTGCTGTTCTAAGGTTGCTTCTCTTCTGTGTGGGTATTCACATGTAGTCTTAATGAATATTGATTTGCAAATGACTTACTACATAAATCACAAACATATGGTTTCTCCCCTGTATGGATACGTAAATGTTTCTTCAAGTTACTTTTTACTGCAAATGATCTGTTATATATATCACATTTATATGGTTTCTGGCCAGTGTGGATATGCAAATGTATCATCAAGTGATATTTTACTGCAAATACTTTATTGCATATATCACATTTATATGGTTTTTCACCTGTGTGGACCTGTCTATGATTCTTTAAGTAGTCTTTTCGTGCAAATGACTTACCACATATACTACACTCATATGCTTTTTCACCAGTGTGAGCATGCATATGTGTGCTCAAGTTAGACTTTCGAGAAAATGTCTTGCTGCATGCTTTACACTCGTATGATCTCCCTCCTGTGTGAGAAAGGATATGAAGATTTAAGTGGGCCTTTCGTGAAAAAGCCTTGCAACATCTGTCGCACTGATATGGCCTCTCACCTGTATGAATATAGATGTGCTTTTTTAAGTCACTGTTGTCTGCAAATGACTTAAAACACACACCACATTCATAGGGTTTCTCACCTGTGTGGGTACGTTTGTGCCGTTTAAAGTTACTCTGAGAAAAAGTCTTACAACATATATCACATTTAAAACATCCTGTGTGGGAATACGTATGTTTTCTTAAGTCGCATTTTCTTCGAAATAACTTGCAGCACATATTACACTGAAGTAATTTCTCGTGCAAATGAAGAGGTGTATGTTTGTCCAAACAATCTTTCTGAGCAAATGACTTAGAGGCATGTGATTTTTCATTCATATTGATAAGCACCTTCAACTTATATCCCTATATAATAGTACATTCATGTTTAGAAGCATACGTATTATATAATAGTACATTCATGTTTAGAAGCATACGTATTATTCATTGTAATATTCATTTTCATTACCTACTTCAGTAAGGAAGCAAAGCATGATAACTATTAGATTTTACAACCGTTTAATCTCTCGGCCGGTACAGTGAAAGAAAATGAAGCTCGGGTGTGAGAAGGGGAAAGGGATAATTTTATTGACAAGTTAAAAAAAAATCGCAGTATTTTATATGGAATTTTTTAACGTCAAATAAACAGGCTAAAAAATGGAAATAAAAACATAAAATATATTTAAAAAATAAATTGTGGACCTAATTCCGATAAGACGAAGAGGATATTATAAGAAGGAACACTTAAGAAAGAAATCATATTAACACCGTTGACACCGTTGCCATTAGAAACGTACTTGGTGAAGGGAAACGTATAATACTTTTTCCTTGCGAGGGATTTTTTCTCATCATCGCATTTATTCTTTGTTTATTAACGCAGTATAGCAAAGAGCATTAATATAAAAATACAGTATAATTGAATGAAATGTAATTATAGTCATAAATTAAAAAATATTTTCCTTAATTTTCATCCGGATACGTTGACATTTTTTTGTTTTACTTTGCCAAAATTTTTCTATATAAAGCCTATACCAAATGTAAATTTCACGGTTTTTTATTTCTAGGAAAATATTAAAAACCACTGCTAAAGAAGTAAACATACTTTAGGTATTTTAAATGACTAAGTTTTACAATTTCTATCTGGCAACAGTAATGGTGAAAAAGTTTCGGTTTCGTTTATTGGGCAGTGGAGGTGGAGGTGCATTTAACGTTCTTTCTGGAGAAGTAAGCCAAATTTGCAAGTGGGGAATAGAATTGAGAAATTGCGAGCAGGGTAAATATTTTATTGTTATTTGAAATGTTAAAACTCGATAGAAGTGTTTTGAGTTGTCTTGGTAAAAACTGTTATAGAACAGTTTATAATTTTTATGCCTTAAATTATGTTTTATCGTTATTTACAGAATGATGGCTGCTTTTTGGAGAGGAGAGAGAAATTAACTGGAAATAATTCCCCCCTCCCTCAGATCAGAATGGATATCGGAAAACCAGATCGGTATGGATTATTATTTTAAATTTTAATGTTTTATTTTGCATTCAGTTATGTAAAATTAAATGTTGTTATTATAAGTTTTATTATTAAGATAGTGAAATTTTGTATTTCGTATAAGTACATAAGTATAGTTTGTTTGCTGCACTTTACATTTGCTATTTCGTGTGGTCCTTTGCGGCTAATCTTTGGAATATGGTAACAGATAGTTTGGCGACATTTTGGTAAGGCGATAAAGGTTACTAGCTAGGACTTTAGCAGTGTACATGGATATAGTCAAGAGTGTGCGCAATGCCATTTTTGTGCAATTCTGGGATGTTTTTTTAAGTGAAATTTATGTGTCTATCATTAAAAGGGAAATGTAAGTTAATGTAATTAATGTATAGCCGACTTTGATAGTGAAGTAATACTCTGAAATTTATGTGTCTGTCATTAAGAGAGAAAGGTAAATTAATGTAGAGCCAACCTTGATAGTGAAGTAATACTTTGAAATTTACGTTTCTATCATTAAGAGTGTTGGATACGACAGTAAATGTACACCATTTTGTCCATTCATCAACTTATTTCTACCTAAATAATCTCTCAAAAATTTAAACAACCAAACAAGTTTATTCTACCATCTTTTGATAACAGGATTGGGTACTTTTCCGTTTCGCCAGCGCAAATCTCGCCAAGCAGACTTTATTGGCGACAACATACAGTATACACATAAAAAATATTTAAAAAATTTTAGTTCTAAGAATTTTTTATTTTGAAGGCATAAACATTTTAATATCGCTTAAAATTTTATAAAAAGCCAATAAATAAAGACAATACATTTATAAAAAGACACTAATTTAAGAATTTACTATGCATTCATGGTTCAACATCCTGATTCGCCGGTTCGTATCACGTGACCACGAGTGATCTTCATCTCACGCAAAACTACGCTACAAAAATCTAATTATCTCAGTAATTATCTACATTGATTTCAAGGTAAATCTTAATTTGGAATACATGTTTAAATGCAAGAATTATTTCAATTCGTACGAAATAGCTTACTCAGGAAAATTATGTAAAACCGCAGTGCGTTACTTCGCTAGTGCACTTCTTATTAGAACTGATGAGTTTAACCCTTGACTTTACCTTTTCTATATTTTCGGCTCAGGTGAAGCGATGTGATTGCACCCTAATTGTCTTTATTACCGCGAATGGCCTTAGGGCATAAAATTGAATTATCTATTAAAAATTCTATGTAATTGTATGTAAAGTAATTGAAAGAAACAATCAATCTGATAAGAAAAAGGCTCCTACTTGGTTTGTAAAAATGATGCGTAAAAGGTTACCAGCGAGAATATTCCGTTTGGCATCGGTTGTACCATTATTGGCGACTTTATCGCTTGCGCCGGCAAAACGGAAAAGTACCCAGGATTGTTATATTTAATTAATCTAAACACATATTTAATTAATCTAAAATATAACCCAAAATTCCATTTTGAAGTTCACTTAAAAGTCTATTCTAAAGTTCACTTAAACGTATATTTTGAAGTTCACTTAAAAGTCTAGTTTAAAGTTCAAAGGTCTTAAATCTAGAAGGCACTTTTATATCTCGACCACTTTATAATCTAATCTATAGTACTAATCCAAATCAGGGGCGTAGCTAGAGGGGGGCATCTGTCCCCGGGCGCAGAATCCAAGGGGCGCCAAACTGATGTTACGACATTTTAGAATTAAATGTTTTCCATCCTTGGCAAGCAGTAGGGGGTGCGAAATCTTTGTTGTCCCTGGGCGCTGAAAACCCTAACTACGACTCTGATCCAAATAGTCATCAAACGTTTTACCATCTGGATCAAAAACTGGTTTAGCTTTAGAAATTACTTTATCAAAGAAAGATTTCTTTCTAACCTTTATCCTTCCTGTGTTGAGTTGACTTAATCATTTGTTTCTTAACCTGTGATTTAGAATAAATTTTGGAATTCATAATCTCAACACCTGATGTTTCAGAAGCATTTTTTTCAAGCTGTTCTTCACCACACTCGTCACTTTTACTTGGTTCAATCCGATGATTCCAGTCTTCGTTATCGGAATCCTCATCATACGGAAATTTTGGACATCTTTCTTCTCGAATAGCATAATAATCATCATTTAAAAGCTCTTTCGTTTTCTGGTCAAGTTTTTCAGGATCAAAATCATATTCAGCATCATTTTCGTTAAGATTCAATTCATTTTGACAAGGCTCTTCTTTCAACTTTTTTCAAAAATTTTCTTCAAGTTGTTTTCTCTTTAAATCTTTCAAACATTTTAGATCTTCTCTTTTCTGCTCTTTCTTCCTTTTTATTCCTTCAACGTATTCTTCATGCTTCTTCTTTCTTTTATTATCAATACGTCTGAGAGAATCTTCAATCATCTTTATATATCGTTTAATGAATTTTGAATCCGGCTGTTTAAATCGGAAAATATACTTATATTCAAATAATTCTTGCCTTTTCATATCTTTTTCATCATCACTTGAAACTGCAATATCTGTTTCTTCATAAGTCGGAATCTCACCACTTTTATATTTTCCTGTACACTTCTTATCTAAAATAAAATCTCTTAAAATTTTTTTATTCTCATCCAGGTTTGGATCATTCCTAAACTTCTTCGAAAAGGACATTTCTTTCTTAACGTCTTTTGGTACTTCTTTTTCTTGACATTTTAAATAATCAGCATCGTCATCTTCTTTTAAATTTGCTATAAAATGATCATTTACGACCTTATCAATTTTACTTCTAGATTTCAATTCAAAAGGGATTTGTAATTCCCAAATCTTCTAATTCCCATTGCAAAGTGTGAGCCTATCAAAAGATCAATCTGTGGGTTGACACAGGCAACATCTGTGATATGAATTCCCTTTCCAGCTAATTCTGATATCCAAGGTCCTTTCTGTAGACTAGGTATAGATCCAAAAAGTATAGGCTGATTTAACACAAGAATCTTGCAGCTATAACCAGTATGCAGATTCTCAACAGTTATTTTGTAACATTTATGATTCATATCAGATGTCCTTCCTCCAAACACAACATGTGTTAATTTTTTACGAGCTTCTGATCTTATTCCTAAAGATTCTACTGTTGATTTTAAAACACAGTAATATTCAGATCCAGTATCTATCAATGCTCGAAGATGAAGTTTCTTTCCTTCATGTTGAATAGCAATCACTAAAGTTTGAAGCAAAACTCTTCCTGAAGTGCCTGTTGAAGAAAGAGTGCTAATTTCACAATTTTCTTGATTGCACTCGACAGGAACTTTCGATTTCTGCTTAAATTATGGACAATAAACAATGTAATGCTTCCTACCACAAAACATGCATAGAACTTTACTTTTACAATTATTAGCTCAATGGTTTGTTTTCAACACGTAAAGCAGCATTTTTTCTCTTTCATAATTTTCAATTTTTCATCATGACTTAAATTTTATACTCTGTAGCAATCTTTGCTTTGATAAGATTTTTTCACAGAAAATACAATTTACAACATTGTTATTTATTTCTTTTGCTCTCGAAAACAAGTTGCTTGCAGTAGGTATAGTAATATCTTCCCTATCCTTATAAACTTTTCTATAGGGATCACTTTGCTTCATACCTGACTTTGCTAGAGTTATTCTTTCTTCCCCTTCGAACTCAGCCCTTAGAAAATTTAAAAGTTGGCTCAGTCTTGCACTATATGATTTCTCTTCATTTACTGAATTTTGTTGGTTGGAAGTTGGTTTCCGATTAAGCAACTAATATAAGTCTTAGTTACATGGTCCAGTCGCCAAGTGAAGCGAAACCCCGCCAAATGTGGTAACCTCTGGGCTTAAATTCGAATGAATGCTTTCTGATCATTTATTGCTCATTTATTGCTTATTACAATTTCAAACCATGTTACTCCATTTTGCTACTGTCTTAAAAAAGGTATATGATATTATGAAAACTTTTAATACAGTCAAAAGTCGTTAATTTGGACACCCATAATCGGGAATGATCTATAATCCGGACCTCAAAGCTACAAACTTTCTGCGCATGCGTTGCGTTTACGTGTGCGCACAAGACCTTTACGGCTGCGAATATGCATGTGCATAATACGTTTATGCATGCGTGTTTAATGTATAACGGACGGTATAAGTTAAGCTAAAATTATCTAAATCAGTTAATGTTGCAGATTGCATTGTTCCTTAATCTTCGAATTGGATCAGGCTTATTATTTTTTGCAGACTGTTAGAGCAATTTTGTAAAGCTTGAACTTTACTTTTTAAAGTAAGCTTGAACTTTCGATTATGTCAAATAGAATTTCCGATATATACAGTCAAAAGTCGTTAATCCGGACTCGTCGGGACTTCGGCGATTCCGGATTATCGATTTTTCCGGATTATAGATCATCAGTTTAAATCTCGTAAGATGGCATGCAGAAATTCTAAAATTAAAAATATGAAACCGTAATTTATGAAATAAAGAACAATTATGATCTAAAGGGTATCAAAATTTGCAAAAAGAAAAAGCTTAATATTTATTTGTTTACTTTATTAAACATTTCTTTCAATGTAAGTTGTTTAAGTTTTGATTCGTTTCATGTGATAATACTTTCTCTTTAATTCTATTAAACAGACATAATTTCTTGTTCAGTTACAAAGTTCCGCTGTTCAAGTCCTATAATTGCTGTGTCAGAACACCGACTAATTTGTCAATCGAAATTTTTTTGTTTTCAATAACCTCTGTCACTTTCTTCGCTATCGGAAGCGAATTATAATGACGAGGAACTTGTTTTAAATCATATCAAAGATGGAGCATATCGAGATGAAATACTACATTTGGTAAGGAATTATAAGCCAAATAAAATAAAAACATATGCGCTGAAGATAAAGATAGTGCTGACAAATCAACTTCCAATTCATTACGCGCCCGCCGCCCAGCAGCGTGAAATTGATAAACAGATTTCGGATTTCAAAACATACTTTCGCTTTAGATCCTTTACATATTAACAAATATATATCGGAAATTCTATTTGATATAATCTATTTGATATATAAGTTTCTATTTGATATAATCTATTTGATATATAAGTTTCTATTTGATATATAAGTTTAAGCTTACTTTTATAAAATTGCTCTTACAGTCTGCAAAAAATAATAAGCCGGATGCAATTCGAAAATTAAGGAACAACGCAATCATCAACATTAACTGAAATAGATAATTATTTAGCTTATATGTCCATTATACATAAAATGCACAGGCAAAAACGTATTCTGCACTTGCGCACACTCATATGCGCAGTCGTAAAAGGTCTTACGCGCACGCGTGAATGCCTCTGCGCATGTGTCAATGCGGCGCATGCGCAGAAAGTTTTTAGTTTTGATGTCCGGATTATAGATCATTCCGAATTATGGGTGTCCGAATTAACGACTTTTGACTGTATTTACTAATATGTAAAGGATCTACAAAGTGAAAGTATGTTTCGAACTCCATTAAACAAAAAGTGGAATTGCTGCAAAAAATGAATAAAGGCATATCCTTTGTTTCTTAACCATTCCGAAATCTGTTTATCAATTTCACGCTGCTCTGTGTGTGTGGTGTGGGGGGGGGGGAACATCGCTGTGTGCAATGAACTGGAAGTTGATCATCTATAATCCGGAATCGCCGAAATCCCGACGATTCCAGATTAACGACTTTTGGCTGTACTGTTGATCGTATAAAGTACATAGTTACTAATTTTCAAATGCTTTAGGTAAAGTGCAGAATCGCCCACTTATTTGTTTGGCGCTTTTTACAAGAGTAAGAAGAATTGGATTTTTGACAATTTGCTATGACTTTGTAAGTGAAAATAGGTCGATGTGTACATGGATAAAGTCGAGGGAGGGCGCAATGCCATTTTTGTGCAATTCTGAGATTTTTTTTTTAAGTGAAAATCGGCCAATGCGTACATGGATACTGAGTATGTGCAATTCTTAAAAAGGCGCCAAGCAGTGGGTGATTTTCTGGAAGTCCTGTTTCAGATATTTTTGCATGTTTACAAGTTGTTTAGATATTTTTGCATAGTAGAGTTCCTCACTTTGGAATTTCCAAGTTAATGTTGGAAGTGAAGAATCTAAAAACTGATAAGCGAATAATCGCTTGAGTTCGGCGACAAGAAACAAGAAGATAGAAGGGTAACTAACCCTTTATTATTCCAATAAGATTTAACAAAACTCCACCTTGGAGTGTACAATCAAAGCCTAACGCACTTGGGCTTGAACTTAAGAGACTAAGAAATTAAACTAAAACTAAGATTAACTAAAGAAGTATGTAGCCGAAGCTATCAAGATTCTGGAATCGAGTTGGCCCCTTAACTTATTTGACTACGAAAGCTTAGCAAGGACTTGAGTACGGCCGAGCGTAATAACAGCTTTGAGAGAGAGAGAGTGGCCAAAAGGCAGACGTGCGTAAATCAGAAACTTCTGATTCTCTCTGAACTCTGCAAGTAAACTTCGTGGTTTAAATACCGCTCCTCCTCATTAAATATTCAGCACGATTCCAAAAGTACGTTCTGGCCGGAAGTAGTAAGTTGAAGTTAAGAATTTGACAGGAAAGGAACTTTAACTTAAAATGTAACTGTTAATAAAATTAACATTATCCTTAAAACGTGCTAAGCTAGACCGCGATATCCAATTTTACTGCTTCAGTTATTATAGTACCCTGAATTTTATTTAAATTTTTTTTTTTAATATTTGTCTTCCTTGTTTGTACCTTTGTCTGATCAAATTTCTTAAATGACTATAGTTTCTTGAAATTTTAGGAATTCATTCAGGCATCACTCTTCATGTTACATATTTTTAAAATGCTCTTTTAAGTAAACAATCCTTTTGTGTTTACATTGGTTAAGATGTCTGGCTAAAGTGCAGAATCTCCCACTTATTTGTTTGGTGCTTTTTACAAGAGTAAGAAGAATTGGATGGGTAGAGTAGACTTTAAGGTACCTCTTGTATTATGGTGAAGTTGTTGTTTGATTTATCGCCAAGTTGTTGTTTCATTTATGGTAGCCTGAGTACTTGAATGTTATGGAAACACTACTGTGACGTAATCGGGTGCATGATTCTGAGAAATTTTGAATCATGGGATGTTTTGTAAGCGTTTTTGTTGTGTGTGTTGGTTTGATTCTTTAGACGGTAGAATGGCCGAATGTAGTAAGATTAATTTGAAGTTTCTGTATGATTTGGAGCGAAAGGGGAAAATAGCTTTAACTGACTGGTGTGTAAATGAACGTTTACTTAGTAGGCATTATAAGCATTCTGTATGTAGGAAGGATATGCGTCTAGTCGAACGTAAAAACCGTTTAGATGGATTTGAATGGGTTTGTAGGAAGAAAGGTTCAGATGGTCACTATGTGAAGTGTTCGATCAGAAAGATTACCTGGTTTGAAAGTTATTTGAGTATGATTGATATTTTGATTTTTACGTGGCTCTGGGTGTACGAAGCGAATATTTGCTTTCGGTAGTGCTTAAATGTATAACATGTTTTTTCCTTTTTTATGTTATTTTATTGTTTGGTTTAAAATGTATTTTATTGAGATTAGGTATTTTTTTGTTTGCCTATATTGTAGAATTTGGTGCTCCTTTGACTTTTTAAGGAAAATATATCGATGTGTACATGGACAAAGTAAAGGGAGTGCGCAATGCAAGTTTGTGCAATTCTGGGATTTTTTTTTAAAATGAAAATAGGTCGATGTGTACATGGATAAAGTTAAAAGAGTGCGCAATGCCATTTTTGTGCAATTCGGGGATTTTTTTAAAGTGAAATTAAGTCAATGTGTACATGGATACCGAATTTGTGCAATTGTTTGTCTTGTTATTTTGGCTTTGTGTAGAAAAATTGCCGCTTCGCAAGCCAAAATAATGTGTCAAAGAACTGCACAAATCAGTATCCATGTACCGTCAAAAATTGCCAAGTTTCGCCAAGGGGTACCCTAAACTATGCTTTTACCAATTGGATTTTTGTCAATTTTCATTGACTTTTAAGTGAAAATAGGTCAATGTGTACATGGATAAAATCAAGAGTGTGCACAATACGATTTTTGTGCAATTCTTTGATGTTTTTTAAGTGAAAATAGGTCGATGTGTAGGATACCAAGTATGTGCAATTCTATGATGTTTTTTAAGTGAAAATAGGTCGATGTGTAGGATACCAAGTATGTGCAATTCTTAAAAACGTGCCAAGCAGTGGGCGGTTCTGCACTTTCCCCAAGATATCCTACAATAAAGGGTTATAAAATGAAAACATGAGTTACATTCACATGTGATTCATTTTATCATTTCATACTGAGCAATAATGTGCATTAAAGAGAGAATTCAGTAAGTTAAACTTATTGAGAGCAAGAATGTTGTTTGCGTATTCATAAACTTAAAAATCATTTTGAATCAGATTTTCATCTAGGACATGTCAGTTTTCATTTAGAACATTGTCACTATCGATTTGCTGCTGTCATCTTGCTAATGTTTGCTGCTACTATGTATTTGAAAGGTACTGAAGTAGTTCCTCAGGGTACTTGCTTTCTTTCTTTTCATCATTGACAGAACAGCTGGCATACAGGCATTTACTGTGCTGCTTTATATGTGTTGGCTAAAAAGTGTTTGCCAATGAAAATGGAATATTAAAATTGATTATGACAGCAACTATCTATGCCATCAACATCTATCTTCAACATTCCAAATTATTTCCTGTGTATTATATTCCTTTTTATATATCAGAAATATATGCTAAGCAATTTAAAAAATTGAGATATTAATATTTGTATAATTATCCTTTTGAGTAAATATGCTTTTAATCACTACAAAATGCATAAAGCCATCTGTTTAAAAAATGAAGTATGTAATATGTGGAGGAGAGGGGAGAGGAAATGAATTAAAAAAATTTTTAAAATTATTTTTACAGTATGAAAGAATTGATTAATTTACGAAATAAAGTTGTGACATCATGTAATTTGCAAAAATTAAATATTGTTTTAATGATGCTTGTTTTCTTTCATGCATGGTTTTAATGTTATATGGTGTCAATCATAATATGGTGTTAATTTAAGTTTTACTTTTCCAATTTATTGATTTTATTGCTGAGTGCTTAACTCTTGGAAGCTGGTGTATTTATAGGGTCAGTCCATAAATCCGTGCATATTTTTTGGTAAATTTTTAAATATAAAAAAACACAATTTAACATTTTAATCAATTATATATTTTCCTCCATTATCTATAATGTCTTGCCATCTTATAAGCAGCTTTTTTATGCTATTTCTGTAGAAAGACTGGTTTTGATGCAAAAAAACTTGAAAGTTCATTGTGTACATTCTGTTTAGAATTTAATTTTTTTTTTCCCAGTAAAAAATTTTGTAAGGCATGAAATAAGTGAAAATCACTTGAAGCAATATCTGGGGAGTAAGCAGGATGTGGCAAAAGCTCCCAATTAAATTCACTAATTTTTTGCAGCGTTGTTCGAGCCATATGCTGTCTAGCGTTATCATGATGAAACAACACCTTTCTTGATATTCACCAATCGTGAGGCGTTTTTTGATCAATTCTGAGTTTACAAAGTTGTTGACTATAAACTTCTGAATGAATTGTTTGATTTGGTTCTAACAGTTCAAAATGTCCTGAACGGGGTTCATCATCAATGCTGCTTTTTCCAACTTTAAATTTTTTAATTCATTCTGGGCAGTCCTTACACTAATAGTTTGTTCACCATGTACACCATTAATTTTTATCGCTGCAAACCTGGCAGATTCACCAGACAAAAATAAAAAAATGTAGCACAGCACGTTTGTACTGATTATCTATTTTAATCTTCTATGGGTACTAAAATGTGTTCAATATTTACGAAAGGTGATGACAAACTGAATAATATGTTAGTCAAACAATGACAAGTTCCAACAGGTTCAAAATTGTATTGTGTTAGTAAATGTATCATAGTGAATTCCACGCATATTCTTAATGTGCACAAACTTATGTACCGACCTGATATATGCAGAATTATACATGACTCAACCGCTTCTTGTCAGTTCCATCTAAAATTTAACTTTGTTGTATAAGTGTATGACAGAAAGAAATACAATATATACATTTCTTTTATATGTTTCGCATTCATCTGTAAATTTTGTAATTTATAATTCTTTTTATTAAAATTAATTTTTTGAATTTAGGTTTAGTTGAGTATTGTTAACAATAATATTGACTTATAAACTCAATTTTAAAATTTATGCTTGTGAATCTTATAGAAATTTCTGAACTGTGCTAAGGTGGCTGTATTAATATGTCATTGCCGAAAATTCTCAATGACTGAATGACATTTCTTTCACAATTAAGGATGGCTGAAAACAGAAGATATGACTTGTAAGTTCTATGCCATTTGATTACACTGTGTGTTTAAGTTTGCATATTTATTTATTGATTCAAATCCTTAAAGTGTAATCCTCAAAGTTTTTATGTTTTTTGGTTAATTAGAATAACTGCATGACATCATTATGTTAATCCCTTGAGAATCAAAAGTTAGTACTTAACATTAGTAGTGCAAATCCCTCAGTAGAATTTTTTAAACTTTGCAGAACCCATGCATAAGTTTTCTGACGATCATGTACATGACAAATCATCAGTTTTAACAACCAGCATTGCCATTTTTGTATGTGTTCTTCTGTTATATTATGAATTCTAAAAGTTTATAATTCACGAAACTTATTTTTTGTTTCTTATAAACTCAATTTTAAAATTTATGCTTGTGAAACTTATAGAAATTTCTGAACTGTGCTAAGGTGGCTGTATTAATATGTCATTGCCGAAAATTCTCAATGAATTGCCTTTTTTTTGCAAGAAAACCCAGTATTTTTCAAGAAAATTAAAATAAAAAAACTGTTGAATGATAATACATTTAATTAACTGTTTGAAGTTGGAGACTCGAGTCCTTATGTAAGATTGTTAAAAAGACTGGGGTTTTCTTACCTTATTCTTTTCTCGTTTTAAGAAGTCTCTTGTGATTATTAATCACTGTGACAATTAGTCAATTAGTCACTGTGATTATTATTAATTATAGAAGCCCCAAACAGGCTTACATTTTGCTTTCTTTTTTGCACGTGGTGTGGCCGCCATTTTGTGATTGTAGGAGTTTCGGTGAGTACATTTTTGCAATTTTCAAGTTATGTTTATGTTTTGTACATTTGGATATTGTGCTTTGCTTGTCTGATTTCATGCATTTTGCTTACAAACATTTTGTTTTCTATTCATTTCAGTGAGGGATTTTTCTGCTATTTTGTGTGTACTTTATTATTGCTCAGTTAATTTAGTTTGATTTTCTGCATTGTTTATCATGCCTTCATCCGTTAATCGTTTCACTAAATTACGCCTGAAACGGCAAAAATTCCTGAATCATCTTGACTTTTTACTTAAATGTAAATGTAAAAAATTGATCCCCAATTTTATTCAAATCAAATCTAATCAAAAACCTTCGAGTCGCGTTTCAAGAATTCTGTTAAATTGCAAGCTTGCCTTACTTCGGTCCGTGATAAGGGATACACGTCAACAATTGTCCAAAATTGAACATGAACTCTATAAGCTTCATCTGGAACTCGCTAAATCATATCCAAAATTCACTGCCCTTGAACAAAAGTCTTGGTCTAGAACGGAGAATGCAGTTAACCGTCATAAAAACACCCTTGCAGTTAAATTCGAAAAACTTCTTTTACAGTCTTCCAGTTCAAGTAGTTCAAAAAATCTTCCCATTGTAAACATCAAGCCAATAGTTAATATTTCTAATGTTAGTCTTTCAGAAGAACAAGAGAGAATTCTAAAATATAATTTTAACTTCTCACAAACCTGTAAACCCTCGATTCCAAAGATTTTGGCTCCTATCGAAAAAGCTTTCAAGTTCAGTAAAGTTTCAGATTCACAGAAAGAAATGATTAGGCATCTTATCGCTCATAATGTGAAATTCAATAATAAACCTTTGAAACCAAATCTAACTGCGAGAGAAAGAGAGCTACAATGCGCGAGAATTCATTCTAACCCGGATATTGTCATTTCAAAGGCCGACAAAGGTGGCCAGATAGTCGTCATGGATAAGAACACTTACATCGATGGTGTCACTAAACTCTTAAACGAAGGACCATATAATCCGATCCCTAAAGATCCTTCACCTTCGGACTTATCCAAAATAAAAACTGCGATCAAATCTTCGCAAATCATTTCAAGCAACTTAAAACATTCGCTTATCCCATCTGTTGCGAATTGTGCCAGATTATATGCTCTTCCCAAAATTCATAAAAGTGGTATTCCTTTCCGCCCTATTGTATCAAATTTAGGTACTGCCTCGTATCCATTAGCTAAATATTTAGTTTCTAGATTTTCCACTCTATTAGACAATAACATTTACACCATAAAAAATTCAATAGAGTTTGTAAAAAAGGTTAAAAACATTTCTCCTAGTAATTTACTCATGGTTTCTTTTGATGTAAAATCATTATTCACCAATGTCCCAGTGGAGGGTGCATTAAGATGTCTAGAAACCAGACTTCGCGAATTTCATTTCTCTTGCATCGAAATTGATGAGCTAATTTCTCTCACTCAACTCTGTTTGAAACAAACACATTTTGTTTTCCAAAATAAATATTACAAGCAAACTGAGGGATTAGCCATGGGAAGCCCCCTCAGTCCCATCCTGGCTGATATCTACATGCATTATTATGAATCAAAATTGTTTGAAACTTTAAACTTCCCGGCATGGTTCCGCTACGTAGACGATACTTTTACCCTGTTTGAAGGTAATAAAGATGATTTAAATAAAGTTCTTTCAACAATGAATTCTATTGATCCTGCTATTCAGTTCACTTTTGAACTTGAGACTTGCAATTCTCTTCCGTTTCTCGACATTCTGGTCACACGTAACACATCCAACTTCAGTACTACAGTTTACCGTAAACCTTCATCGGTTTGCCTTCCACCACACTTTAAATCATGTCATCCGACTAAACAAAAGTTAGCTTCATTTTATTCCTATGTTTTCCGTGCTCTTCAAGTTTGCTCCTCCAAACTAGCCCTTGATGAAGAACTAAATTATTTAAAAGCAATAGCTATTGACAGGGGCTTTTCACCCAACATTATTAATCAAGCAGTTAAAAAATTCTCATCTCAACACACTAAAAGCCACACTCTTATTTTAGGAGATTATAAAAATTCTGTTGTCATTCCCTTCTTTCCATCAATTAGCTATAAAGTTGCACATATTTTGCAGAAATTTAACTTTCGGGTTGTTTACTTCTCCCATCAATAAAATTCCAACTTCTATACTCAAGGACCCCATTCCGGATATGAATTCCTGGGGTATTTATAGGATTCCTTGCCAGTGTGGTTTAATTTACATTGGCCAAACTAAGAGAGCCTTAAAATTTCGCGTCAAAGAACATGAGGCATATGTTAGAAAAAAGGAAACACAGAAGTCTTCTGTTGCTCAACATTGTTGGTCCGAAAATCACACTTTCAATTTTTCTGCTGCCAAAATTATTCAAAAAACATCTTCCATTGGAGAACTGGATTTTCTAGAGGCATTTCACATTCATAAAAATCTTTCTGTTCTAGTTAACGATCCTAATTCCAATCCAAATTTGCCTTCGGCTTTTAGAGAAATTATGTTTTAGTTCTGGTTTCGCCAACAGATGGCGCCACTTGCTTATTCTTGTCCAGGCTTTCTTATCTTATCTAATCATTATTTCCTATCTTGTTCATTTGCGGTTTTGCAGCTGAAGATGATGGTTCGGTAAAACCATCGAAACTAGTCCTGTGAAAATTTTGTAATTAACGCTGATTTTTGTGTTTGACTTCGAATCTTCGTGGTAAATCCTCTATTTTGATTTTTTTTTTAAATTTTTTATTTTGGTTTTTTAAGTTTAAGGTGCTTTTTCAATCAGCATGTGTATAGGTAAAGAGAAAAGTAATGTATCTTCATTTATAACACATTCTTTTGTTAAAAAAGTGTATGAGATCTTAAAATGATGCTTTTTATTTATCTTACCAAATTAAGTGCCTTTATAAAGTGAAACAATATTAATTCTATTATCTTTTCATGTTATGTTATTTTACTATATCTGTTATTTATAGATATTTTGTTTTTTATTATTATTATTAATGTGGGGTCTGCATCTAATTTTTGAATGCATCTAATTTTTTTTATGGATTTCATGAATATATTTTCTTAAATTTACAAGCATTCATAGTTTTGTAAACAAAGAAACATGATGCAAATGTAGTATAAACACAAACATATTTTACTGTCCTATTTCTTTGTACTGTTTAATTTGTTTTGCAGTATTTTTTAATTATATTATCCAAATTCTTCAAAATTTTCTCCAAGGGAGGAATAGTTAGAAAAATAAAAGATCATCGCTACAAAAATGATTAAAAACTTAAACAATATGGAAATGTGAAAATTTAAATTGCAGAAAAATTAAAATTTTAAGTCTAAATAAATATTAAAATTTTGCATGTAAGCATAATGCTTAAGAGCAAAAACTGACAATTTAGAATATGCAGTGTTTAATTCAAATATGACTTGTACATTGTTTGTGTGTTTTGTACTATGGATTGTTTATAAATTTAAACTTTCAAATCGGAAGGAGAAATTTGTGGGATGTGTATAGTTTTTGAAAGAATAGGAAGAAATTACAAGATAATTACAAATGCGATTATCTTTGAATTCTGAAGCTGCAAGAATGAAAAGGGAGTTATAGGGAAAACCAGATCCTTAACACAAAAGCCTTTGAAAGAACCAAGTGGTTAAGACTTCTAAAGACATCAAACTTGATAGTTCACCTCGCCTTTTCAGCTTTGAAAACATGGGAAAAAGACATGGCCATTAAAGTGCACATACCCATCCTTTCAAACAGGGAAAACCAAGGCCAATATAATGGCCATCCTGTCCCAAAAGGTTAGGCTTCTGATAAAATATATGATTAAAACAATATAAAAACAAATATTTTTCTTATAAATATTTATAAATATATATAATAACAAATATTAAATAACCCACAACAAATATTCATATATAAATAACAAATATTAAATAACCCACAACAAAAAAATTTTTGCTAGCCATGAATATTGAAGGGTTGAGTTAGTTGATCCAACTCCTGTATTTTAATAAAGCAGCATGGAAAGTATTAAGTATAAAAAATATTAATTTTACATACAGTAAATTTGTGCCAGGAGTATTGTAACAGCCTTTCTCTTCCAGCGCGGACTGTCCAGAAAAGACTCTTGGGGAGAGAAGAAGTTAGTGATGTAAAAACATACGCGTGATGTGTGCCTTTTGCTGATTGGCTGATGCAATGCATCTCATGTTTGCATGACTG